AGGGAAAGGAAGTGGAGGGGAACTGGGATTGCACGTGAAGAAACAGCTTCGTGGAGGGAGACAGAGAGAGAAACAGCAGCTAGCTGAGACCCAGGAGCTGCAGCGGGGCTGACTGCAAGCCATGACAGTGGGGCTTAGAAGGGGAGCTTGGGTATTTGAGTGTTCTGTGAGACTAAAGACAGGTTTGAGAGCCCCCCTGGAGTTAAAGGAGGGCTTACGATTTCTTCAGTGTATTGCATTATGTTGTTAATATTCCCAATGGACTCATCCCCACATACGGAGGTGTGCAGTTGCTGTGGCAAAAATTTGTGCCACTGCACACATCTCTGCACATGGGGTTGGTTGCAAGGCAAATTGTCCCATGTGGGATAGGGGACTACCTGTGCTGGTCCCAGCAGCCTTACCTGGGGTCTTGGGGCTCTTGGGGCAGCAGCAGCAGTGATTTGGCTGCTTGGAGTCCGACAAGCAGCCAGAGTGTGTCTCTGGCCAGCCAGGCTCCAGTGTCTGGTGGTGCACGCCACCAGAGATCTGGTGGGAATCTCTCAATGTAAACCCCACCCCGTTATGCTGCAAAGTATTAGTGTAGCAAATGCTTGCACGTGCAGAACATGTAGTTTGCAGCACCTCAAACTGTATGTGTGTGCTTGTGGGGATGTGCCCTATTTGTTACCTTGCTAAACCGTCCCTGAAGTGTTTTATCATTGAATTATTGTTATAGTCTGTTATGTATATTCTTAGCATATGTACCTTGATGTTTGCTCACCCATGTTTTTTCCAGTCTCCTTAGCCCATTGGCCTGTGACCCTATCCCCCCAGAATCCCCTGTATAAATTTGAGAAACCTCCTTTTGGCTCCTATGCAGTTTCCAGGGTTTGGTACAACAAAAACAAAAATCTCCAACAGTTTGTTCTCCCAACTGGAAAAGACAGAATAAAGATTTAGTTTCTCTGGAATAATCTTTAGTTATTTATATAAGACTGTGGGGCACAACACTCAGCTGATCCTCAAGTGACAGGAGTAGAAGCCTGGACTTTTATGATTTTATAATTTCTCTCATCTCTCTTTAGAAAATTATGAATTCAACTCATGGTAGTGTTAGAGTGATATTATAGTTGTGATGGTCCAGCAATTATGCAAGAGGCAAGATTTTTTTAAAAATTATTATTATTTTTTAATTGGACCAAGGGCATGGTTGAAATAAAGTTAAACAAGCTTTTGAATGCAAGACCAAGATTTATCAGAATTTAATTCATTACAATTTAACATAGTCACTTCTCTATTTTGGTTTAAGTACTTTAATTATTAGTGTTTTCAAAAGTTATCTCATGCAAATACCTGATTCTTAGCTCAGTGACACCTGATACTTAGTCACTTGAGACCACTGTATCTGAGAGGATGAACATATCTCTGGGATTCTGGAGGTCATATCTTGGTGGAACTAACTACTGCCTCATTCTTTACTCCTTGGCCTGGTCTTTACTCCTAATGGTATGTCTACATGTGCATTAATGCACCGTAGTTACGGCGCATTAATTTTAGTACATATAATAACAGGTTATTAAATCAGTGTTCAGTAACTGGTGCTACTGCATGCCTTTTTAGTGATTAGAAAGATGCATTGCCTTTTTAGTGACACTAATGCACAGTAGACTATTCTATTGTGCATTAGTGCAATAACATGGGTTTTGCCGTGATGCGCTGATATGCAGTAGAATTAGTTTACTGTGCATTTAGTGTCTTATGTAGATGTCCAATGTGATGTATTTGCCTTGCTAGTGGCTGCCAAACTTCTTGCTATCTAAAGGAAACCTGGTTATTATTCCAAAAGACTGAACAACTTGGGATATTTCTACTAGCATTGCAGAAAAGAAGAATTAAGACCTTCAAGTGCTTTTGTAAACATTTATCTTTGTAAATAACCAGGCAGTTCTAGCTGACAACAGCTGGGCAGATGATGAATGGTTAGTACTGCTAGCTGGGCTAAGAGGAGAATGTTTTAATGCTCATTCATCCTTCACCTTCACTCTTTGGTTTGTTGTAACCTATTGTGTTCCTTTTTGTAGTTAAAATCTGCATGGCACAGCAATACAATAGGTCCTGATTACATATTGCCAATATACAATAATTCCTAGTTCTAGCTTCATCTCTTACCAACTTGTATGTGACCTTGTTAGGTACTTACTAGCCTTGCTGGGCACTTTTAGAACAGAGATCATGGTGTGTAGTCCTCTTTAAGAATCTTGCATAAAACGCACTAGATGCATACTATGCACGAGTAGAAGTAAAGGCAAGAAACTTGTATTCCATTGGCAGAACATCTGCTTCTCTGTTAACCCTGCCCCTATGACAGAAAGCATTCATAAGTAGTCCTATAAGCAAGCAAGGATAAGTTGATACGTTAAGCATTTATATGTAAATCTATTAGCGCACTTCTACAGCAGGTGCAGATTAGTTTCCAAATCATAAATTGTTCCTGCTATGATTTTTTTTTCTTTTTTGGAGAAAATGATGGTCTCCTTACACACTGTTTAAGCTACTGTGTGTGTAAAGTAGTTTTTCTTAATTGGTTTTAAATGTTTTGCTCTCTTAATATTTGTTTTGGGTCTTTGGGGCCACAGCACAAGGCTTTATTACATGAGGCAGTTACTAACTTGTCACTTGGGTTTGTCACTAGAGGGTGATGATGTTACACACTTTACCAGTGTTTGTCTTTGCTATAGAGCAAAACATTGTCAAGACCGAAGAATAATGGGTTCTATTCCAGGCAGCACTGTACCTAGAATCCTGACGGCCCCAGACAAACTTTTAGCATTGGGCCTCCCTTTGCCAGAGATAATGATAATAATAATAAAAGAATTACCATTTTCAGCCCCCCTTTCTGTCCTGGCCTTGGACAGCTGCTCAGTTTGCCCATGTCTGTTTCTGGCCCTGATTCCAGGTTCTGTATGGGAACAGTCTTTTGTAAGCATAAACCCTTCTGCTACTGTTCCCAACCTCTGCTTATAGCTCTACCTATACTGTGCTTCCATTTGCTCTTTTATGCTGTAGCTTCTTCCCTATTTCTCTGTCTTAACATGGCCAATTGGGTTTTTTTTTTTTAATCCATATGAAGCAGACACCTAGCATGGAAAACTTCAGGACATACTGTTCTAAGCAGGCAAATTTCTAAGCAGCTGAAAACAGGTTCATAAAGTGGAAAGTATCAGGTAACTTTAACTGTAGGTGTTATTACTTGTTCTGTCTATGATAGTATCAGAGATGAACCCAAGCTCTTCTATCACTTTGGATAGTCTTCATAGAAAGCTGAAAGACATGAGGCAAGAGCCTACTGATGAACAATTAAACCAAATTGGGGTTAGATGATAGGAGTAATTTAAATACACATATTAGGAAAGTAATCAGAGTCTAGAGTTTATTTTAAATGCTCTCAGGTAAAAATCATGATTTAGCTGGGTCTGACTTGTGCCAGCTAGTTCTAGAATTGAACTGGGAAATCTCTGTTGGACAAAAATGTTACTCAATGCAGTTTTAAATGACGTAAATTTTCACAGCTTCTCATGGATTGATTGTCCCATCACCTCAAAGATCTTGGAGGTGTTAAAGCTTTTCTCCTGAGTCTATGCTTCAATTTTTCCATTTAAAAATTTCACTCAAATACTTTCAGTAAGTGGCAGGGGTGGGGGAAATAAACTAAACATTTTGCTTGGTTGTTCGAATCTTCCAATATTGCCAAACTTTTACCAAGTTCCTCTTAATTGTCATTTGGCCAATCTAAGTGCATTTACTGGAAGTAATGCCTTTAATCATTCTTCATAAATTGCTCTCCCAGGTCTGTAATTTTGAAGGGTTTCCACTGAATTCTTTCCCAGTTGTTGTAAGAATGCATCACATTTTTAAACATGATCTTACCACTGCTATAGATAACCTTGTCCCCCTTCCCTGCTCCAGTTCTCTCAATCAAACTTAAATTCAAGTATATGGCTATTTCCTTAAGATTGTTGTATATGTTTTTTTCTGTATGTTGACACAGGGTCCAATATAATTGTGTTATTTGCTAAATAGTACTGCTTCCTCTTTATATTGCTGCCCATTCTTCCCAATATCTTCTTAGTGTTCAGGGTTGGAGACATTTCTGTCTTTATCTCCTTCATCTTAGCAGCTTGCATCTGCCATTGGCTTGTGATGTGGTCTTTGATTTTAGTTGGGAAGTACTCTTTCATCAACGTTTCCTAGCAAGTTACTTTATGCTATATTTAAAACAGACCAGACTTGTTATGGAGTCTCTGTTTGGGGGTATAAAGTCATCCTGTAAAGAAACCATTACAGTTTACTTAGGGATGACTTACTATCGAGTCTGAAGGGTAATTAGGATTTTGTCCACGTGCCAAAATGGTTGGCACGTAGTCATGCAACTGTAATTCTTGGCACTTGAGCAGTTTGAGATTCAACATTGCTCACACTGGCCTGATGAGCATGCTTGGGCCCAGTAGCTGCCCTGAGGGGAGAGAATTAACTAGGTATATACACAAGGCTGGGCAAACCCTGAAATTTTAGTCTGAGAGAATCACAACCACCTCTGGGAGGCAAGGTGAGGTGGCCTCCATCCTACCTTTTAGCTAAGATGTTTAGGAATGGGATATCCAGGTTTTAGCCCCCACCTCTAAGAAGCTTTGAACACGGCTCTCTCGTTTCTCAACAAAGTGCTTTAAGTACCAGACCACAGAATAGGCTTTATCCTGCACTTACTGCAGTCTTCCTTTTTGAAGCTGGCTGCCTAGGGAGATGAGAGGGAGATCTGTGAGGCCAGAAGGACAAGCATAAGGTAGAAGGAACGTGGCTCAATGAGATGGCTGCTATTTTAGGAGCAAGGGGGTCCTGGGTTCTAAAATCCAGGGGAGTCAAGTGACTTCAGTATTTCTCAGAAACAGGTTTATTTTGAAATATAGATTACGGACATGAAAGTAGCAAGTACACAACAGAAAACAAGATGACACCATTTCTCCATTTTAAACATTTAATAGTGCACTTATTGATTATACTCTGTACAGACATATATAGCATGTTATAAACCTCTTCCTTTCTTTCACTTAGACCATAATCATGTAAAGCATATTTACAATAGAAAAAAAATACTTGAGGTACAAAAAACCCAAAAGAATATTTGAGGTATAAATACAAGTATATTTTAAATAATCTTTATCATGCTTTATCTAGGACAGTACATTGTGGGCAAGTATACATGTTTACAATAGAATGGTATGTACAACATACGATTTTACAAACTGTTTGAAGCTGAATATGCAAGGGCTCCCAATTCGTGAGGAACACTGATACTGGAAACACTACATTATTTGCCATAACAAAAAATCTTCATCCATTAAGGAAAACTTAATAACACTGACAATGGTAACTTAGTCTCAGGCAAAAATCCATCTTACACCTCATTCATACGCTAGCCATAAAATACATTTATCACTTAATACTGCATCTCTAAATCAAATCCCTATCTTTACAGTAAAACCTGTATAAAGACCACCTTTTCCAGAGGACCTCTTTTAGTTTCTTACTGCCCATAGGAAGCGATTGTCAGTGAGAAATATTTTAGAGGGCTAAAAAAAAAATCTATATATTAACTAGCTCACTCTAAAGCTTCTAGTTTCACACTAATGTGCAGATTTCAGAAATACAGGTACAGGAGAGGAAAATTTATATAAATCTTCCTTGTCAACTTCCTTTCTCTGCTGTCATAGGAGTCCTAATGACAGGACTTCCATGTCTACAATTTTCTTCATAAGCTGTTAAAATACAGTAAAATATACTAAGCTGGTTAAGACTGTATACAATTATCATAGCAGATCTAGGAGTAAATGCAACAATACTCACTTTTAGGCAACACAGCTATTGACATTTATTCACTTGACTACTACAGAGGAATTTCAGCCGTAAGCTCATAACTGTATTCTCCTCATTGTAATAGAATCACTAAATGCTCCTAAAAAGATCTGGATAGGCAATGGACAGTACTCTGAGCAATGTAGTATGGCAGTTGCTTACAAGTTAACAAAGATATTGACTGGGGAAAATACAAAACCAGCAAGAGCAAAGGATGATTGGTGCTGCAGCTGGCCCATTGGTAGTCAGATTCCAGGTTGAACTGTCTCCAATACATTAAAATCCATTCCGCTTAATTATCAGTGTACCAGACACCATACTTCTAATTCGACTTTTGCTACTCCTTTCAACCATTAACACACTCATTCACACATTAATTTCTGTGCAAACCTTTCTTCGCTTATCTCAGTGAGAACACATTGAAGAGTACCAACTATTCCAGTGGATACACCAGTCCCTCAAACACGTTAGATAAAATGACAGATACATACATAAAGCTAATAGCACATGGGATCACGCATCTTTACCATGTTACATAATATACTTATGTTTAAAGAGTTTTAGCTTCTCAGAAGCAATTCAAACCATCTAATAGTTTAGTTTATCTTTTTTGAAGTCCTCCTATATATATTCCAGTCAAGATCTATACTATAGACCTTACATAGACAGGAAGCAGCTTTCGGATGTATGGTATTGCCACAGCCTTATAGTAACGCTCACGGTCCAGTTCATGATCTTGTTCTTCCATGATATGACTTGCAGGTTGTGCTAGAATCCATTCTGCCATGACAATCCTTGGTTTTTGGGACTATATACAGGGATGATAATGAATAGTTGTTCCGCCTCAGCAGTCACCTAGATTTTACTTCTTTAGTCTCAAGATTCTGAACAAAAGAGTCTCTGATCTTAACAATTTCAGATGCACATAAGTGTCCAAAAGATTTGGTGTACCATTCTGGCATGTGGCCCCTATAGCATGGAGAAAAAGCAAATGAGAAACAGGTCCACAACTCTGGTCTTTACTAAACAAAAGCATAAAAGTGAACATCCTATTTGCTACAGATTCTTCCTAAAATCCGACAGAATATAACGTTAAGAAAAACCTTCCACCAACTTTGGAAAGCTCTTTATTGCATCTTAACTGCTCCAATCTATTCTCCATGATGTACTGTCTTTGTTCAATCACGGTGAATAAGATCTGCTGAGATGTCATCAAAACTTTGTTTCTGATATCAACTTATGCAGCTGTGCGTAAATAATACCTCCCTCTCTCTTCCCACCCAAATGTTCCTGCTATAAAGAAAACGAACCAGCACACATTTTCAAAAAAGGTACATAATTGGCTTAATGAATAACACTGAAAGATGCATCTCCCTAGCTCTCTCATGCCATAATGAAGTTAGGTTGTGTGCTTTCTATGGCCGAAACTGTCTTCACTGGTTTTGCGAGGTACACAGCATGGATTAGAAAGTTCCGAATGTACCTTGAACCTTAACTTACTATTAAAATATTGATATTTTGTGAACACTGCCATGCCATGGGATTTACAAAACTCGGGCTCTCTTTCAGTCCTTATAATGAAGATTGTAGTGCCTCAAATTCCTGATTTGATACTTTTTTTTAAATGATCCCAGTAGATGTCACTATCATTTCAGATACAGGATTGTAACATTTAAGCCTATTTGTTTAATTAATGTTGTATGTTACAACCTGCTTACCCCTGCCCCACAGAACTGCCTCCATCAAAGACTGGTGGGACAGAAGCAGAAGACCATACCTTAAATCAATCCTGCACATGTAGGTGAGTTTGGATTTTCCTGACCCGCAGGGTTCAATCAGATACCTGGATAAGAGCACGTTAACTCTAACACCAACCATTGGAGCATGGTCATGATCCACTGAGGTGGCTAAAAGCACACAGGCCCCTTTGGGGAAGTTTGTCCTCCATGTTCTATTAAAAACAATTAGGAAAGAATTGTCTTACATTAGGTGGTTGCTTGATTTTAGAAAAAGGGACAAGTTTCTAATAGTGTTAGAATAAAAGTAGAAGAATGCAAGATGTAGCACACATGCACAAACCTGCCTTTCTTCTATAGTATAGGCAAGATTGTCTGAACATCTCTTATACACAAGAAAAAAGTTTTTGATGGCTTCCAATCACCAGGTACATGAAATCTCACCTTAAGACTACGAAGTCTCTAGCTGGGTGTGGGGCCATGCTGTTTTGGACATATTGGTAGATATCTGTCTGACTGTCCAAGGTTTCAATTACTTTTGAATCCAAGAGATCTTCATCCCAAAGATGCTGTTCTTTCAGTAAACGGTTTAAAATCTCTTCAGGCATGGCAGGGACTTCAATGGTGGACTTCCACAGCCGCAGTGGGGGCCCGTCAGATACCTGGGAACATAAGCACGGACTTCTCAGGATTATTACAATTTATGCTTTCTCTTTCCTGTTTTCCTAGTATTGGGAATACATAGAAAATCAAAGCACCATGTAAGGTTGTTATTGGAAAGACTATCTTTCTTACGGAAACCTGATGTTTAACTGAATAAAACATCATAGCCTGGTAGAAATAACGAGCCTTTCTTAAGTTGTACAGGTAGCTATCAGAATTTCAAAACGTGACCCTACCCTGAAAAAGTATTGTATGAAAAGCATCTTGATGTGCCATGGATATTATATTGCCTCCCTGGTGTTAGCTGAAATGTAATCAATTACAAATAAAGGAAAATGTTTTTTGGTTCCCTTCCTCACTGCTCCGAGCTTTGTATATTTGAGCTTAGTCCAAAACAAGAAGGTCTTCCTTACCATTTCCTGTCATAAATATTCTTGCAGGCCAACTAATGCCTTCAGTTACCTCTGTGAAACACTTGGCTTCTAAGGGTTTTAATGTGTCTAACTGCTCCTGCTACTCAGAATATAATAACAATATTTTGAAGATGCACATGGCTGAATGGAATGTACTCACTGCCTCTTAGCTATTAGGGCTCCTGAGCTGACAAGACAAAACTCATTTTTGTTACTTATAGCTGTACACTTGAAACTCTGGATACACCTGAAGATCAGCTCTAATGTGATGGGGTTTTCACAAAGTTGCTTTTCAAAATACAGCCACACTTTCTCTGTTTGCAAAATAAAAGCATTGCTGAAGCCATACTTTTTAGATTTATTAGAGTATATTCTATATTGGCCAAACCATTAGACCCAAGGCTTCAGTGTTAAAAATGAGATAGAACTTTACCTTTTTATAGGCCAGCTCTGCTTGCTCAGATGTTGAACAGTTGACCCAACCTTTAAATTTTTCCTTCATGTCCTTGAGTAGATCATCCATGCAGTCCTGGAGGTAACAGTGATAGTCAGAGGACTCTGTGCTGTTGTTTTGTCCAAGCTCCTCCAAGCTGAGAGGTCTAAGATCTTGCTCTGTATAAGAATTTCGACATCTGCTCATTTCTTCAGGAATCTGGAAGTAGCACAGAGAGAGAGAGAGAGAGAGAGAGAGAACTCATACCAAGACACTTTAACCATGCTGTGAGAAACACTGTTTTGAGTCAAAGAACTGAGCAGGATGGACACTGTAAATTTAAAATCCACAAATGATAGTCGCTCCAGTCATCTGAATTTGAAAGTGCCTGTAATCTCCCTCAGACATACAATTACATTGTATGACAACTAACACAGAGCATGCAGTTAAACAGAGCAGTGTACTAATGAAAGACCTGATCAAACACAAAAGGGAAATCTCCAACTGCTGAAAGAAATACTTACACTGTACTTCACTTCCACCTTCTGCAAGTCAAAAACAATCCCCAGCCACACCCAGGATCAGAAAAAGTAGTGAATGGTGTGTGTGTTGTACATGCTCACATGTTTGAAAAAGAAGGAAAATGTATGTGAAAATTACATAGGACCACACTGTAAAAGGACAAATGGAACGTGAAACACTTGGAAGCTAAGAAATCTCAAAATTAAGATTTCTGATGCAACTTTAAATGTAGCCTGCCTATGCTTGTCCATAATGATATTTTTAAGACTTTACATTTTATTTAACATCCAATTTATCAAATGAAAATTTAACCATTTAAAGACACATCAAATACCCCAAAGTATGTGTAAATACATACATACATCTTCTATTAACCCAGGTCAATGTCCACAGATAACTTGTGTGTTTTTTCTTTCTCTTTCTTTCAATTGCTGACAGTTACTTTACCTTTTAGTCAATGTTATGCATTTGTGTTTTTCCGTCTGTGTGTGTAACCTCCTTAATTCAACCTTTTTTTTTTAATCAGGACTCTGCCTGATACAAGCTCGCTATCATCTACTTAGCTCCTCTTTTAGATTTCAAATAATTTCAAATTTGTTCTTAAATGCTAGCTCGTAAAACTGGCACTTTCCTCAAAAATGTTTCTCAGGGAGCAGGCAGATGTTCACTTAATGACATGATGGGAATCTAATCTAAACAATCATACTTCCTGCCACAGCACATGCAATGCAGGAGGCATGACTGTTTGGATTGGGGATCAGATCCCAATCATGCCACTGCCAGCAGGAAGCCTGGGGCATGGGTTTACAAATTGAGCCCCCCCGCAAACTTGGCACGTGCAAACACACAGGCTCCCTACTTGAACCTCGTAACAGGTAGCCTCTCCTTAATGCTGGCACCCCTGTAGACCCCCGAAAACCAGTGTGTAGCTGGGCTGTGTAAGCCATTTTTACAGGTCCCAGCACACCAGAGATCCTGGGATCAGGAATCTCTCCTTGACACTAGGGATATCTGAAACACCTTGAAGTTTCTTGTTTTGCAGCTCCCCAGAGCTGCGAGGCAAGGGAATCAACCTAGGGCAAAGACCTGGGGCTCCCCATAACCAAGCATTTTAAAGGGCCTTGTTCCACAGCACTTGGCTGCCCCAGCCCCTCTCCTGACCCCCATCCCAATGCTGATGTTGACAGTCAGCTAATCATCAGCATGGGCATGCTACACATTCAAATTATGGCTCCATACAAAAAAGCCACAAAGATGTTGCACATAAACTGTGGAATATCTTTTTTGTTGATTGACCACTATGTCACCATAAATCAGCTGAATGTGTACCACTACTACTATTTATGGTGCAATTAACACATTAATTATGTCTTAAATATTATATGTGCCAGAAGTCTTACTGGTTTGGAGGCAGGAGAATCTCTCTCACCAAAATCTAAGAATTTCCACCAAAATTCTAAGCAAGCACCTTTTTTCCCCTTCTACCCTGTAGAACAGCGACTTGATAGGACAGTTTTCCTGAAGTTTTTTAAACCAGTTAGTGATTTTAGGAGTGCCAGTCCTCTTCCAAGCAAATGTAATTTTTCAGCCACTAGAAGCTGTGCAATCAATTCTGTACGACTTATGTTACAGAGTTCTCGGGAAGGTTCGATAAAATCATTAAGGGTTTCTTATTATTTCCCTTACCGTGTCTCTAGCCATTTTCCAGAACATTTTGATTCTGGGACACATCCCCCATATGTGGTAAAATACAATATTATTTAATTACGTTATCCTGTTATTCTTTATATAGGACCCTTGCCTCATTCAGTCAGGATCTGAGTGAACTATGCTAGTTGAGGAGCAGCTGTTCAATACTTTGTTCTGTTTGATATGTGGTCATGTGCTGTATTTACTGCACACTGGTCAAAACCCTGCTATGAAGACCACATTGGCTACTCCAAGATTCTTATCACTGGAAGCAACTGTGCTTCAGCTAATGAAGACTGCTGGGAAATGCAGTAAGATCCTATGTTACAGATAGGACCAAAGCCACCAACACATTCAGTCAAAACTATTCTTTAGTTCTGGTTGCCTAATTTGAGATTGGATCTCTGAAAAAAAAAGCAGCGATTTGAACATTCAATAATTCTAATATTATAAAAGCCGTAGTCTGTCTGTCTATAATGCTTTATTTGCGCTCTGACTGGTTGACTGAAACAGCCAGAGTGCAAATAAGCATTTGGACAGGAGGTGATGGCACAGCAGAGTGCCACCATGATGATGGGGACATGGGACTATGGGGCCTTGCTCCCCCAACCCTGCTCCCCACAGGTGGCGACAGTGGGGAGGGGCAAGGCCACTGGAGCTGGCCTCACGCCCCCGCACCCTGCTTGCTCCTTGGAGGTGGCAGTGGCAGCGTGGGGGGGTTGGTTGGGGGGAGCGGGGTTGGGATGCCGTGGGGGACAGGGGCGAAGCCACCAGCACCCCCCCTTTCCATCATGGGGGGGGAAGAGGAGGAGCAAGCCTGAGGGGGTGGGGAGAAGCCGGCCTGCCGCAGTGTGGGGGGAAGCAGTGGGACCGACCTGGCCCGGCAGCAGCAGGGGTAGGGGAGGAGCGGGCCTCCTCTTGCCTCGGGCCCGGGCCTACTCCTCTACCACCCCTCTTTCCATGTCAGCCCTGAGGCTGCTTCTCCCATCCCCCTACCACCACCAGGTCAGCCGGACCCACTGCTTCCCCTGCCACTATGGCGGGCTGGCTTCCCTCCACCCTTGGGCCTGGTCCTTCCCCACATCAGGCCCAGACCCACTTCTCCCCTCCCACCACTGCTGCGGTGGGGAGCAGGGGAGTGGACCTGGACCCCAAGCATGAGGTGGGAAGGGAGGAGTGGGCCCAGATGGGGCGGGGGGTCTGTCTCTGCTGGCGCCCCCCCGTTATTCTTGACTGGCAGTTGGCTAGTGCTAAATAATGATGTTCCTACTGAAAAGTCCCCATTGCTGTTTGGTAAGCTTTAGATAAAGCACCTCCACTGCCAATTTGAAGTGTGGGACACTGATACAAGAGATGCTCCAGGCACTTTAATTAGAGTGGCTCTTGGAGCTGTTCTAATTAACTGCCCCTACCCCCAACCCCTGAAGCACATGTAAAAATGCCCATGGTGACCACCCATTAAAATCTGGCATAAGGTATTTGCCTGGCATCATGGAGAGATTGGTGAAGACATGAACCCAGGTCTCCAAGGTGGCCTTTGCCTGCTTAAAACCATGGAACTTTTCACTCTTGAAATCTCCTGCTTCCTTTTCTATGGAATCCTGACATACTCTCTCCTCTGCACTGAACAGGGCAGGATTATGTAAAAACAAATAGTATTGGCTCCTGTAATTCAAAGACAATATCATATTGTATGCATACACAAGCAAGATGCTGTGAATTATAGCTATGTTAACTTACATGGTTCTGACTTTCCAAACTTTGAGTGCTTGATGGCACTACCTACCTGAATACTTCTTGTAGTGGGTTTTTAGATGCAACTTCCCTGATTTTTAGAAAAGCAAGTAGTGAAAACAAATTCTGCCACACAGAAGTGTACTAATTGGATCTTTTGTCAGCAGGGTTTGAAATGATAGCTCCCCAGCACAGACCTGAGTCCACTTGAACTAACTGCATAGTGAGAGATTGGCCAGCAGAGGGAGGTGAGTCACATCTTTGTAGTAGGTTTTGGTCTATTTGCAGACAGCAGAGGAATGCTAACACTGAAGGAATCCCGAGTTCCACCTAGGTGAGGGTGTGGATATTGTCCCAGTGGTTACAAACCCTTTAACCTCTGCTTCCTGTCCATAGTTCCACACTCCAATGCCTGCCCTCCTCCTGCTCTTTGCCCTGCTTTGCGAAGTCCTGAGATTTTAGCACAAGTCCTGTGCTCTTTGCTGTTTGACTTAAATCCTCAATTCTTAACAGCAGCATCTTGCCTTTTGTTAAATAGAAGCTGGAATTCTCATACAAGTTCTTGATCATGATCATTGTAGTGAAAAGTTTGAAAATGTGACCCAAGAGGCAGGATCAAGTCTCAGTTTTTTGGATGTTTGGGGTCAGATTCTATTCCATTTCTTAAGCATGCAGGTAGACTCAGGTTCTCACATATTCCACCTTGTTCAAGGCCCTGGAAAAAACTCTTAGTACAACGAGGTGGGTGGGTCTTCCTTTTCCTTGGCACTTTTTGATCGAGTCTTATGGATCAGTTGATGGTGTGTTACAAAAGTAGATTTTCAAGGACTTGAACAAGGTGGACTAGAAACACACTTACGTGCCCAATAGGTGGAACAGAATCTGGCTCTTGGAAGTGACAATGCTTGCTGCCTACCCCTGCTAAAATATACACATAAGCACCAATATGTATACATATGGATTTTAAAATGTACTTTTACTCTAATTATATAGTCCAAAGTAAAATATACTTGTTTTTCTAGAGAGGAGTAGGTGTCCATTTTGTTTTGCAAAATTCTTTCAACTCAGTGCTGTACCAATGGGACTATGTTTCACAGACAATCATCTCACCTGGAAGAGCTTCTTGCACTCAGCAATCATATGGGCCAGTCCCTGGGTAGCAGCCAGATTTTCATTTAAATCTTTCTGATCAGGTTTGCCCAGACTGGGCTTCCGTTGCATCACCCTATGCAAAGGGGTGGGGGAGGGTGGGAATATGAAACGTTCAAAATTAGTGAATGGAGAAGATGACAACTCTTGTTACAGTTTGGTAAGAAGGCAACATGATTGCAGAATGCCCTGATGTCTTTACATAAGCTCTGGGTCATGCCAAGATTGCCCTATTGCAAGATGCTACTGATGTCTTTACTGAGGCTGTTCCTATACCATATACCTTTTTGCAGAGTTGTCTGTATTTGTAACAACCCTATAACAGAGAACAAAGACTGGGGATACAATGTTTATTTTCAACCTAATGCTTCTAAGTTTTCTAAGACATCTGAAATAAATTCCTTCCCTGCACTCTTTATCATCTGCTAATAGTAGAATCCCAGTGCCTACCATATACCAAAAACAGTAGCACAGGAACAGCAGTTCAAAGCTACATTCTTCTATATTTCTGTAGGCGTACCTTGGAGAAGAATTCTCTCTCTTGAGAGTATTTAAGTGGAAGAGGGAGGGTGCTAAACACACAGCAAGGTTTGTTGGCGTCATCTGGTTCTCTTTCACTGCAGCTGTGACATCACTCAGGAAATAAAGCAGAATCTGTAGGACCTCCCTGTTCTCATCGGGTAGAAGCATAATGGCAGCCTTAATAGCCTGGAGACGCTGATCCTTCGGCACATCTGCATAATATTAGCAATTCTCTCATCAGCTCATTGATTTTCCACACACGCAGCATGAATACATCCCAAAGTAAACTCTGGCTTCACATTTTTTACTCTAGTTTGAAGTGATTTCCTTTAGGATGCATACCATTCATAGGTAACATGAAGGATTTTTTTTTCCTTTTTATTGCCACCAGCTTAACTACCCTCAGTTATTTCCTGCCTGGAGAAAAACTCGAGTGAAAAAAAGAGTTGTGCTTACTCCAGAGTTAATTTTAGAATTTAA